CTGTAACCACTTGGTCCATCTCGACCCCATGATCCCAGGTAAAAGGTGCGTGGTTCAAGACTTCTCCTAAAGGTTCGACTGCTCCTGTCTTGGCTGTCAAAATGTCGTACTTTGTAACTTCTTTCAGTTGCATGTCAGATACCAATCAAGAGTGCCACAGTTGAACAATTTATATATTGCCGGCCATACAAATGCAATATGCTGGCAGATAGTTATGTGTAACCATCATGTGAGTGGCACTCGATCACTTCATACTGCTAATCAAACGGGAATGGGAATCCTAAATTCATTGTTCCCAAATTAGAACGTTAGATAATTTAAATGAAAAGCATGCGCACCGACATGTCTGCTGTAGATGACTTTCACCATCACATTTCAGCAGATGTCTGTGCATGACTGCTAACTCCAATAGAATCATGCATAGCTAACAAGTGGGTACCTACCTTTTCAGACATCTGTTTCAGGTCAGGCCTGATTTTTGCCAAGGCAGAAGTTGGCTTGGATGTGCTAACGAGCAACATGGCATTTGTATCTTGCACGGAACCTTCGGTCAGGATTGGCAGCCACTGTAAGAGTTGGAATAAAATGTTTAGTGCATAGAATCATGGACGTGGCCTGTAGCTTTTGAGGAATTCCATTCCATACAAATGTGAAGCGCAAACTCGGACAAACTCGGGGCCGTTGCGACCTGCAGTGATAGTAAACTCGCCCTACCAACAAAACCGCACTTTCACGAAAATCACATTCGTGTATACTATGGGGTATCTGACTTATCCGTAATACGCTTGAAAGGTAGTAGGGTATCGTATTTTCCTCCCTTTAAGAAAGAGAAGAAAGAAAGTTAATTCCCTGAGAGGTTCATAGCGGCATTCTGTGATGAAGGAGGATCCTTCCGGGGGAAGATCCTCGATGGGAGACTAAATGGCCTCCTAGAAGAATTATGGATAAGTTAGCGGCAAACAACCTTGGAAGAACGTGAGCATTCCGGAGTCACTAATATGAAGTAGCCTCAAAGGGTATCCCGATCAGTTGACGCGCATGTGAGCGAAGGCAACATACCAGACGAAGTGTAAGCTGCGGCTGATTCAAAACTTGTTGAAAATATTTGATTAACTGACTACCGTAGTATGAATGAACACAACTGAATTTTTGCAAACATATTTGGTTCCGCGAGAGACTCACATGGAACCCAGATAAGTAGTGTATTGCGCCTATACATGTATCGCGATATCTTGAATATCGTACCAACTGAAACATGGGGCACCCCGAAGCAGCATATTCAGTTGCCTGGAAACATCACAAACGAGAGATTCAGCTGGTTTCCAGGTGAGTCTCTCGCAAAACCGAATTCGTTTGCAAATGAGTGCATTTCGCTAATTTCGTGCAACTTGGTTTCAAGTAGAACATAAGGCCGACGGAAACTCAGAGACTGAGCCTACCTAATGAGCCCCAAGAAGGGCGAAACCGGTCGTGTGCTGTCGAAGAATTCTCAGCAACCTTATCATGTGAGTGGCACTCGATCACTTCATACTGCTAATCAAACGGGAATGGGAATCCTAAATTCATTGTTCCCAAATTAGAACGTTAGATAATTTAAATGAAAAGCATGCGCACCGACATGTCTGCTGTAGATGACTTTCACCATCACATTTCAGCAGATGTCTGTGCATGACTGCTAACTCCAATAGAATCATGCATAGCTAACAAGTGGGTACCTACCTTTTCAGACATCTGTTTCAGGTCAGGCCTGATTTTTGCCAAGGCAGAAGTTGGCTTGGATGTGCTAACGAGCAACATGGCATTTGTATCTTGCACGGAACCTTCGGTCAGGATTGGCAGCCACTGTAAGAGTTGGAATAAAATGTTTAGTGCATAGAATCATGGACGTGGCCTGTAGCTTTTGAGGAATTCCATTCCATACAAATGTGAAGCGCAAACTCGGACAAACTCGGGGCCGTTGCGACCTGCAGTGATAGTAAACTCGCCCTACCAACAAAACCGCACTTTCACGAAAATCACATTCGTGTATACTATGGGGTATCTGACTTATCCGTAATACGCTTGAAAGGTAGTAGGGTATCGTATTTTCCTCCCTTTAAGAAAGAGAAGAAAGAAAGTTAATTCCCTGAGAGGTTCATAGCGGCATTCTGTGATGAAGGAGGATCCTTCCGGGGGAAGANCATGATACCCGAAGGAAGCACGAGGGCTGCGGTAATGCTCGGTTTCCCAACGTAAACAGGGGAAGTCGAGAGGCAAAGGTCGGGTTCGAACCATGCACCTTCCGGTCAGTAAATTCGCGCTGTAACCACTTGGTCCATCTCGACCCCATGATCCCAGGTAAAAGGTGCGTGGTTCAAGACTTCTCCTAAAGGTTCGACTGCTCCTGTCTTGGCTGTCAAAATGTCGTACTTTGTAACTTCTTCCAGTTGCATGTTAGCAAGAGTGCCATCAAGAGTGCCACAGTTGAACGATTTATATGCTGACGGCCATATAAATGCAATATGCTGGTAGATAGTTATGTGTAACCATCATGTGAGTGGCACTCGATCACTTCACACTGCTAATCAAACGGGAACGGGAATCCTAAATTCATTGTTCCTAAGTTAGAACGTTAGATAGTTTAAACAAAAAGCATGCGCATCTACATGTCTGCTGCAGATGACATTCAACATCACATGTCAGCAGATGTCTGTACATGACTGCCAACTCCAATATAATGAAGCATAACTAACAAGTGGATACCTACCTTTTCAGACATCTGTTTCAGGTCAGGTCTGATTTTTGCCAAGGCAGAAGTTGGCTTGGATGTGCTAACGAGCAACATGGCATTTGTATCTTGCACGGAACCTTCCCTTCGGTCTGGCAGCCACTGTAGGAGTTGGAATAAAATGTTTAGTGCATAGACTCATGAACGTGGCCGCTAGCTTTGGAAGAATTTCATTTCATACAAATGTGGAGCACACACTCGGACAAATTCGGAGCCGTTGCGATCTGCAATGATAGTCAACTCGCCCTACCAACAAAAGCGCACTTTCAGGGTAATCACATCCTTGTATACTAGGGGGTATCGGCCTTATCCGTAATGCGCTTGAAAGGCAGTAGGGTATCGTATTTTCCTCCCCTTATGAAAGAGAAGAAAGAAAGTGAGTTCCCTGATAGGCTCATAACGGCATTCTGTGATGAAGGAGGATCCTTCCGGGGGAAGATCCTCGATGGGAGACTAAATGGTCTCCTAGAAGAATTATGGATACGTTAGCGGCAAACAACCTTGGAAGAACGTGAGCATTCCGGAATCACTAATATGAAGTAGTCTCAAAGGGTATCCCGATCAGTTGACGCGCATGTGAGCGAAGGTGACATACCAGACGAAGTGTAAGCTGTGGCTGATTCAAAACTTGTTGAGCTCTACGAATGTGAAATATCTGGTCAACTGACTACCGTAGCATGAATGAACACAACTGAGTTTTGCAAACAAATTTGGTTCCGCGAAAGAATCACACGGAACTCAGAGAATTAGTGTATTACGCCTATACATGTATCGCGATATCTTGAATATCGTACCAACTGAAAAATGGGGCGGCCCGATGCGGCATATTCAGTTGCTTAGAAACATCACAAACGAGAGATTCAGCTGGTTTCCAGGTGGGTCTCTCGCAAAACTGAATTCGTTTGCAAATGAGTGCATTTCGCTAATTTCGTGCAACTTGGTTTCAAGTAGAACATAAGGCCGACGGAAACTCAGAGACTGAGCCTACCTAATGAGCCCCAGGAAGGGCTGCTGTCGAAGAATTCTCAGCAACCTTAGGAGTGCTGTCTACTTTGTCCTACCGCACACCAAAGGCGTGATCCAATAGATCAAGGGTAGCATATGCAACAAAAGACAAATAAACAAACACTAAATTGAACAAGCACTAACCATCTGCGTTAACGAAATTCAGAAAATAAAATGGGATGTACTGAAAAAAGGTATCACCATCAATAATTAATGCTGCGCTTCGCCACCTTAGCTTCACTCCTGGATGAAAATTAAGCATTAGGTTACGGAAAAGGTGGAAATAGACAACAGCTCAGTAGCTCCTGTGAAGTGATTTTACAAAGTAATTAGACTAAGGACGAAAGTGCATGTTGGCGGGCACTTCAGAGGATCATATTCCCATGAGGCGGTGCCAATCAATTCTTGAGTTAAAAATAACACTAAAATTGAGGTGTTCACCACGTAGATATGCGATTAGCATGTTGCGGTGCCACAGAACTTGACCTCCACAAGGACTGCGGAAACTGAAGAGTTGGAGTGTTTAGAATACGAGCCCAAAGGTAGAACGCGTAGTGAATAGCTATGGAGTTAAACGACCATTGTAAGTGGTCCAGTGGTTTAGGTAAAGTATTCTCAGAGGTACACTTCAACCAACCGTACTTGGCTCCTTGGCATAAACATCCTTCTCCTGATTTGTTGATCTCGGCTGTTTGCAAGCACCGTTTAGCAAACGTTAAAAATGGTGCACATAACTTACCGAATAACCAACAATGGCCTCCAGAGGAAGAGACGATTCTACCTTTTTCGACTGACAACTAACGTGAAAGAACGTGAATAAGAGGTAGTGATTTTCGTCCAAATGCTCCGGCAGTTGTATTTTTATTTCGTCATAAATGTCTGGTGTGCTGAAGAGGTAACACAGAAGAAAGGCAGTCCAACAATGAGAACCTATGCCAAATGACAAAAAATGTATAGCTCGTTTACTGGTCACCCGGCATCAGAAGGTCAGATTCCTGAAAGTTACCCAAGAACGCCGGAAACTTACTGAGACCCTAAAACTCCACCTAAATTCCAATAGAAAAGCCAACAAACATCCAGGCCAGTCAATCATTCAATCAATTCAGCAAAAGCCCATGAGTTTTCAGGCACTCGACAGAAGCACGATCGATGTTGATGGGTGATCACTAAACACCTGCCAGACAGCCTGGATTAATGTCAGAAAGTACCCTTCAAAAAGCGCGGCGCCGTTGTAGCTTTTGTACCCGCTTGTTGCAATAAAGCTGTTGTGTTTCTTGTCCGTGAGTTCTTTTCCTGCACCAGGCACTGGAGTGGAAACACTAGTTAGACATAATACCCAGGAATCCATTATTCATCGAATTCGATGGAAAACCTGACTGCCTTCAGACAATCAACATTTGATTCCAACCTGATCGCAATCTTCACCAACTGAATAGAGCCTAATCAAAAAGTCGTAGGCATTACCGTGCTTCACTTTCGTACTTCAAAAAGTCCCATAATAAAAAAGAAAATAATGAATGGGTTTGGAGCTGGCAAAAGTGTGAATTTGGATCGACCCTGCTTCATTCTCGCAATGGGCGCAATCACGACAGTAATTGCCACTCATTTTTGGACCGAAAATATGCACACTGCATTATAGAACCTGAACTTAATACTGCAGCAACCGACAGGACCACAACTTCTGGAAAACAGAACAGGTACATGTGGACGATGGACAAGTGACGCTGAATTGCTTGGAGGAGGCCAAGACTGGCCAAGAAACTAGAAGTTTACTGGACAAACACATTGCTGCGTTTCAGATGTTGTAAGCCTAATGAACGAGAGACTCCACATGTCACCGAAATGAAATAAGCACACAAAATCACGTGGGTCACATGTAGAGGTTATACCACTGTGCTTCAAAGATTCGGAAACAGGCAAAAAAACATGGTGGAGTGTATAGAGATTCAATTGAGGCAAAATAAAAGCAAGTTGGATGGTTTTGCCATAACAGAGAAAAGCAGAAGTCAAGGCATCCCGATTGCAAGACTTAGAAACGTCACGTCGATATCAGTTGAAATGTAAACATAGACGTTAACTTTCGTTTTCGAAAAAATATGGTGATAATCGGTAGGACGATGACTAATCAATTAGTTCCAAGTTTTTTGACCTGATAGTTATAAACTTTTTGTAGCTGAGTATGGGACAAGGGTGATGAGTTTTCACAAGCAAACATAGTTATCGGACCACGTTAGCCTTCAAATTTTTCAGTAAGCCTCAGCGTCTGCGATTCAGGAAAAGAAGTCTAAAAATAATGCATGAATTTCATGCATCTTCTACTAACACCGTACTAAAAAACTAGTTTCTAGAGACATACCTAAGCAAGCTAAAGACCTACTGCACTAAACGGACTTGTGGGATCAAACAAAGGTAAGTCTGAGCATGACAAGTCAACTGACCCACTGCAATCATTCTGAGGTGCCTATACCCTTAGATAATCATCCAGGCAATCTGGATAAAAAGTGACAACAAGGACGTCACTGACATCGATTGGTAGCCATAAATTGCAGCGTCTCCAACCAGGCGCAGTGGGGATCGCGCGGTCCCTATCCTGGTAGGCGAGTAGCACCGACAGCACCCAAACATTTATGACCCTTCGCCAGGTCAAGGGTTGGCGACCTCCCTGCTTCTACCACTCTGAACTGGGCACGGAAAATAACACTTTCTTTGGTCAGCGATGGTTCGGTATACGCAAAACATGGCATAACCAATGCAGTTTCTGGCAATGGACACACTCTTCAACGGAAGTTCATGTTGCGCAACCGAAACCTCGCTCTCTAACTGCCTCGTTTAGGATTCGCCGACATCAACTCACACGAGCTGTGGTCCTGAAACAACAACTGTCGAACACCTGAAGATGCCTCAGTTCCGTTGTTCGAACAGGCCAAGTCTCACAGCCATACAACAAAACAGTCCGCACTATAACCTGATAAACATGTTCTTTGAGATTCAGTTACCGAAGAATACCGCCCGAAATGGAAGGACGTGCAGGGGGGCATGAACTATTGCTCATTTCCCTATAAAGTTGTCCACCTCCACTGTGACCACACAATGATCAACGGGGTTACTCGAACTCTTCAAGGATTTCCGAGGGTTCTTCCAACCACGATCGCAGAATGAACAGAGAATCAAGATCTGTTGGACCAGTGGGCTGCAATCGAGACTAGACAGTGAATTTGACGATGCTCGTGGTTCTAGCGGAGTCCGTTATGCATAAGGATGCTGTGATCCAACCGGAGGTACGGATGTTCCGTGTTGCCGTATGTGTGTGTGAAGATGTTCCTGGGCAACTGGCTTGCAAAAATGATGCCAGAAATCCAGGTGTTCCAAACAAATGTGAACAAACAATCTATCGTACATCACCTATTCTCATAAGACTCTGGATTTGCTTTGCCTCACCGTAACAGGTATATAATGATAGACAAAAACGACAGACGAATTCCGTTCGAAAAATTAGGTGAACACCCCTAACTGCATGCAAAAGCGATTGGAAGGTAAGATGTTTCACACTCATTCATGAACTAGAATACCGAATTCTTTCAAAGAGAATAGTACCTAAGAAATGATGATTTGTATCTAGCATTCACTCCAACGGGGGAATCACCATATAACATACAAACAAGATGAAGTGACAGTACGAAACTCACCGATTGTGATAAAGAACAGGTGTAAACGCTTCACAAACGAAGGTAGGAGAATTACTTTTTCCATAAATAGCCTGTAGAGGAGAGGTGTGAATGGAGGAGGGAATGAGCAGTCTTTCGTTAAGTGGATGAAATACTGTGACCAAACGAATGCCCCAACGGCTGAGATCCCCTGGACGCTACGAACACCGCGTTTGAGTGATCGAACTTACACCGCTGCTGTTCAGCTGGAACAATAAGTGAAGGTCGCGAATTTGAGTCCTGTCTTCTCGTCCGCATATGTACTTGGGCTCTATTCAATAATATACACATTCTGCTTTCTCCGACATGATAAACCTGGTGATATGAATCTCAGATTGACCTAAGTGCAGTTACTTGGAATCACATTCCCTATTGCGCAGAATTCTATAACCCTTAGATCAAAGGTCAAAACTTGAGGTGAAGTTCGATGCAGACAGAAGTGTGGCCCAAACAGCCGTGCACGTGTGAAAAGCCAATAGATTGATATGGAACGGCCTTTTGAGCGGGAAAGCTCACACTTACCGGAAGTATTTTAGCGACCGAATCCTCAGTGTGCACAAGCTGAATCCGAATGGAGATATTGCGTGCCGATGACTCACGGCTGGGAGAGAGTGCCACACTCTTTGGATAGACATAAAGGAGGTTTCTAAAAGACATGGAAGTAGATTGGCTATTACGGAACATGCAGAAGCTCTCGAAAGCATCCCGTGAATTTCAATGAACACATCGTTTTCAGTAAGACTAGCAGAATAACAACAAAGCGGCAAAGTGTCTTGGATCAACAACCCCGTGAAAAGTAGGTTGGTGTTCAGAATTCGCCTCGTTTTTTCCCTTATCAACAATGTTCCTAACTTGAAGGTTATTCAGAGTTGACAAAATATTATCAATATTTGTCATTTGAGTTATTCGAAACGGCATCCTTGGTAACAATCTTCGATGACACTTGAAATCACGCCACTCGCGGCTTCTAGAAACAATGGAGGGCCACACTGTGCGAAACAGACAATGCAATTGACAATTCAGCAGATTTATCATCAAAAATCAATCACCATTAAGCAACAAATGTAGATGAAAACGTATTGACCATCCAAGTACTTAGTGGTACATTACAGTGAGTGGATTTTTTTACACAACAGTAGTTTCATGCTGAGCTTGTCGAAATTTCTCTGCTCTCCAATTCCTAGGTGACCGAGACTGCAGAAGCTGAAACCAACGTGCATCTGGCACATAGTCCATAGCTGACTAACTGAGATGAAGTAAGCCATTTTCCAGACCAACTGATCATTCGCATCCAAAGCGTGGGTGTTTGTCAACTTGTTAAGTGATGAAATAAAAAGGAGGAATGGCGCAAAATGCTAAGAGCACGAACCACAAGGCCTTGCCTAATGACATCTGGTGCGAATGCAGTATCAACATACTCATTCAAAAAGAGTCAGTAGATGAAACATGTTACGTTCATCCGGACCTGGAACTATCACAATTTGTCTGGGAAATCCAAGATCAATTTATTTTTCAGTTTCGAACTCTTCCTGGTCCTCTCATCAAAGGTCTAACGCATCAAATGATACACGATCAACCCTGATTGGAACACTGTCATACCGAGCAGCAGCAGCATAGTTCACCTACCTGATTTGGAACAGAAAATGCCACATGTCTGCGTTTTCAGTCAGTGCTTCACAGACAACAGTAAATCAGTGGGCATTATTAATGATTTCGCGTTGTGGATCATAAAAAAGTAAAGAAATTGGTCGGTTAAAGATTCTAATTTTCCTCAAAACGAACGATAGGAGAAACCAATCGAACGGGCTTCCGGGTCATAAAGTTCGACCTCACGCAAACACTGAGAAGTGCTGAGAAGTTCGGTATACTGGTATGAAGTTAGCTTAAAACCCACGTGTTCTTAAGGTTAGCGATCTTCATGACCACCTGAGCAAAACCTGAATGACCAAACTGTAGAGTGACAAAGGGCATCTATTCATCGATAACACAGCTGCGCAACAGAAACACATTCTGTCATCACTGGTCGTGCTGTCACGTGATTCATGTGAGCATACAAAATATGCTGGGTGTATGTTTACTTTCACTTTGAACATTAGAGTACTAGTTGTGGGTAGCGAAAGGAAGACAGAAAAACCTTATCGTACAATGATCAGTCGTTTGTTGAATAAAATGACCAAGCACAGAAAAGGTTTGCCACAGACTATATTTGTAATGTACTACTCATAAGGTTGCTGAAAATCCATCGACAGCCCACGACCGGTTTCGCCCTTCTTGGGGCTCATCAGGTAGGCGCAGTCCCCGGGTTTCCGTCAACCTTATGTTCTACTTGAAACCAAATTGCACGAAATTAGCGAATATACACTCATCTGCCACAGACTAACCAACACTCACAACTTCAGTTCTCTCAAAAGTCTGACGTGCAGATACAAAATGTGAGGAGGATTCTAGTAGAAGAAACTTTATTCCCTTTAGACTGTGTCAGTAAGTCTAGATGGAAACTGACAGCAATGCTGCCAAATATGTAGGGTAGAGTTCCGTTAGAACGAGTGTTCTAGTACCCGGACGTAAGTTTGCTGTAACGGGGCTCCGTTAAAAGGGAGACATGCTGGAAGCTACCTCGGCAACTGCATAACACCATTTATGCGGAATAACGGAAAATGCTAGATACGGAAGAATTTTTCACCGAAGTATTCGTCACTGGTACATAAACAAAGGTCGATAGTACTGTTGCTGGTTGGACTAATTGCTGAGCGTGACGATCGTGTATCAGACGTTTCGTTTCCAATCAGAAAGGCATCAACGGTTTAGTGCAACAAAATATGAAAACAGAACTGCCGTCATCTAACAACTCGATTAGGAAATGAACAAACCGACTGCACGGCGACCGGGAACATTATCTGGACACCTAGTCTACTAAACCTCAACACTGAAGAGCCGTTCCAACCTTGCCATGTCAGGCCACGGTTCTTCGGGTATACCAAAGTAGTGCGTCCTCCGTAAGTTGAAGTTGCTCATTCCAAACCTGTAGCTGTGGGTTAAAGCATGCGTAACTGGTGCGCGCACCCTTTCAGCATGGAAATCTGGTACCGGGTTTGTAGGCCGGTAATAACAATCAGTGAATATCATAATCTTTCAACTCTACCACCCTTTCGGTGCCTGGAACTGACCAAATAGGACACACTGATCTGATCCAGTCGAAGTAGCCCATTCGCCAAAAAGTACATAAAGACGTTTACCATCGGTATGCACATGGAAGCAGTTCGAAGGTTTCCAGATGAAGTTGCTCACATACCTGATCTTGCCATTTACTTTACTAGATAATTTAAAGCTTTTTGAAAACTTGTCACGCCAAATGCCTTGTTCTCTTGAATTGCGCGGCCTATAGCATAGTAAAGTATGCCCATCATGTGCGTCGATCGATCGCCTCAAACCAGGTTACGCGATCTCACGTCGTGGCGTGTAGCAGCAAGACATATGTCAGATGCAGTATACACGCACATAAGGTGCCGAACTCAAGATTATATACACTGATCTTCCAAGAAATGGTACGAGGAAAGTTCAAATATCTAGATACCCAGATCAACCCTGTTGCTGAATTCGGTTCACAGTGCATGAGTGCCCGAATCAAACCTCTTTAATCTTGAAGGCTGAATTTACAAGGTCAAACGCGGCCAGATCGTCCTTCGTGAGCACACAGCAAACTGGGCTGATGCTGTTGATTACAGAACATGATGGACGTACAGTGACTAGCAATTTGGTGTGAAAAATCCCCGGTGAAGCATTTGAAAGAGGTGAACGCCAGATGCATGGCTGGATTTCCGTAGGATAGCGCAGTCCAATAAGGCTAATATTCTGATGACGAACCGCTTATGCATGTTCTGTCAGTGAATACTGAAAGGGAACGCAATGTGAACAACCAGAGACATGCAACAAGCCGTTATGTACGCACGAGTGGCTCAGTGGCTTGCGTGCCTTTCTTGGCGCTCAGGGTGCTTCTTGACGATTCACCATAAACATTTAGTAACTTGCTTACGGCTGGTCAGGTGTCAAAACATCGCACGAATTATTTTTTGCATTTCTAATATACATTATTTCGGCACATAACCTTTAACGTCGTTGACTGGCACAGAACTCTGTCCAACAAGTCATCAAAAGGCCGTATGTCTCAACTATAAACCGAGTAGCAACTGACAGCGATGAGTTGCAAATTGTTAAGTTACAATGCAGGTTATTGCATCCACGAAGAACAGGGTCGATGGCTTTTGAACTCAGCACAACCATCGATGACGAAACGTCAGCATAAATAGTAACACCTCATTATCATACAACCATGATCAGGAATCGCCTACAAAAAATGACCAAAAAACAAAGTGTATAAATCTTGAAAGACCTACGGAATAAACGCTTCCGGAAATCAGATCGAACTAAGACGCCATCAGTGGGATTAACCTAACATCCTCTGAGAAACCTAATCTACATTAGCTCGAGACACATCAACAAACTTCGGTTAAGCAGTCCAAGTGACAGCATGTTCACCACTGAGACCAGTCACGTACCACACCCCGTTGTGCGTCTAACCAGTTGCAGGAAGTATCACATGGACCCAAAACAGGAAAGCTGTCAAACCTCCCAAGTCTCAAGGTGAGTATCCCATGGCCGGTTTCACCCTTCTTTGGACTCATTAGTTAGGCACAGTTCCCGTGTTTCCCTCAACTTTATGTTCTACTTGGACCCAAATTGCACGAAATTCAACGAATACGCTCATCTGCATACCAATATGGTTTCCACGGCAGACTCACCTGGAACCCGGCTGAAGCCGTCATTTAGTATGCTTCTTTCAACTAAATGTGCTGTATCAAACCGCCTCGTGTTTCAGTTGGTCCAATATCTTGTTATTTCACTTTGATGGAAGAACAATGTCAGGACCGCCTCGTGTTTCAGTTGGTCCAATATCCTGTTATTTCACTTTGATGGAAAAACAATGTCGGGCCGAAAACGAAGCCAACTGAGTGACACTAGATTTCAGAAGATCATGTATGTCCCACAATACGGCATGCAGCAAACCCTAGCAAACATCAACAACAAGTAGGACAAATTGTCCATGAGTCAATGGCTCCCTAAATTGCAGTCAACCTTCAGGACTTTGGATGCCTCTATGAAGTTCACTTGGGCCGACCCCCATTGGATGACAAGACACTGCGAAGGGGATACGTTTCGACTCACCTATATTCAGCAAATGATGCGAAACGGTGCGACGATAATTCTAGCACTTCACGAATGGGCCTGATTGGGATCATGGTTTTCTGTGGTGGTGCTTCTTTGGTCTTGGATTGCCGCCCATGTAATCTTTTCGCCACAACACGTGCAGATGGAACCTTTAGAAACAACGGGCCGACATAGGGAACGCCCTCAGGACTCAATAAAGGACGGCAGCGAGCAGTTTCTGGATCTCGCGTCCTGCGTCGCTCGGCTCCAACATGATAGCCTGTGGAGCGAAGTAACCGCACCAAGTTCGGTGCGTCCGCACAAGAAAGTCGCACACGAAGTTGAAGGTTTGAAAACTGTCTAAGCCGTCGCAAGGCAACGTACTTTGGATGGAGCAAGGACGTCAGTGGTGTGATCTGCTCGCCGGTTTCATATGCACTAGTATTCACCATCTCAACACTGGTAGGTCTTGGGGCAGTATGATGTTCGGGAAACGGTGATACAAGGATATTGGAAAGGGTATGACGATGAATTTCAGAAAGATAACGACCCAAGTCATCATCCCGCATTCGATCTGATTCCTGATGAAGAGAGAAAGAAAAGACTGGATTGGACTTCAATTTAACGTCTTCGAAATTCATGCGTCCTCAATGAAATGTTCAAAACTTTCGTTCCTCTGTTTCCGATCAACTTTTGTGTGCCTAAAGGGAGCGAGACCGCAGATAAGCATGAGGTTGAATGGGTGGGCTACAGAAAGGCTACAAAGAATTGAACACACAAAGTAGTGCGTGTGTAAACCAACATTTTGAAAGACGCTGAACTACCGTATATGAACAACTGAAGATTCCAAACTAATGAGGAAACGAAGTTAATTTGTATTTTTCGGAATATTTAGATTTTTTTATTATCAGGCCTGACTAACGACAAGCAACCAATCAAAAGCGAAAATCAGTATTGCCTATAACATAACATACAATATAATATTATGAAGTAAGTTCATACGTAATTCATAACAAAACAAAATACACTGTAGAGAAAGCGTTTCAAGTCTATTCTAAAGGTTGATCCCCTCAAAAGGATATTCAGCTGAATCGTAGCCCTTTGAAAATGCTACAGTGGTTTCTTTTAAAAGAGGCTCTCTTGGCGTGATTTCCGTCACCGTCAATTAGTACACTCTTGAAAATCCCCCCTCAAAGTTTATGATAAGAGCGTCAACTTCGTATGCGGAACCGATAAGATGTTCAACTAACCTACCTGTTTATAGAAGAATTCAATGAGTAATTCGAAACTGGGAATCAGAGGCGACCAGCTGTCACTCATTTGCAAGTTCTCAGCAGCTGAAGTAACAGGAAATTTAGTTTGCTTGGGTGATGCTAACGAACTGTCCCGAGGCCCAACACAAGCTTGACTCGGTTGACGGCGAAGCGCATCAAACGATGAAGCTTTCGAAGCCCGAAAAGTATGTCTGTTCTCTGAAAATCCTGAACAGAAAAGAATGGGAGCAGGCTTACATGAAACATGGAGCGCGTGTTCAATTGAACCATCCATGGATAACATACAGTCCGTGTAGATCCACAAACAACAGGTAATGGTAGACAAGAAATCAGTAACGATCTGTTGCGAAAATACACGTGGAAAATACCTGTATAGCTTGTGTCTGCACAAAATTCACACAATGAGGACACGTACTGTGGCAAAGGAGAGAAATTAGCCTGGAGATTGAAGCCAGGAACGATGAAAACGGTTGGCCCACTTTAATTCAACACCGTAAAATATTCTTAGTTTGTGGTACAGACACTCGCAAGATTGAGGTCCTCCCATCACGGAGTCCAAGAGTCATTCTTGGAGCGCAAAACATAAAAAGAAAGTTCTACCATGAATTTTCGGCACCGCATAACCCGATCAACTGATGCATCAACGTTGAACCTGATAGTTTGAACACGTTTTTAGTCGCCTACGTACTGACACAGCAGTGCTTGTTCTAACAGCGTATGTTCCCACCAGGAAAGATTAGTTGAAAAACGTGGACGTCTCGTGTGATGGCTTTCGAGCGGTATTTGGCATACGCTACCCTAACCACATATCGATTTACAGCTACAAAAACCTGGGAAATCACCGAAACAAATCGACGTTCCAAGACCCGCAAGGAAGTAGCCAGACTTCACGCAGGGAATTCCCGAAACCGTAGATCGCACATCCTAAATATACGCTTCCAACAAAACTATTTGGGTCTTAGATTATTGATCTCATAATTATTGATCGCACAATCTCAATATTCCCTTGACCAGTCCACTAACCACTCGGTTATTGAAAATATGTTCCATGTAGTAGCAAACAAATGTTCACTACCACAGCCCGCCTTCATAAGAGTTGCGTCTTTTTCTATCTCACAATAATTAAGTCAGATGAGAAAAAGGTTTGTTGCAATCGCTTCACTGATCCTCTCTACCGCGGTCATACCGACCAATAGTGGATTGCAGAAAGCATCATCGTCTATAAAACAAACGCATACAGGAACGTTGATGAATCTCTTCAGCAGTTCTGATCATGAAACATACAGCATAAGTAAACCTGAGTTCATGAGTTTAGTCCAAAGCCAAGAGACAAAATACGAGGAACACTTCTGAAGGGTCACCCTGACCCAGTTAGTTCTAGCTGTGGTGTCAGTGTGTACAAACTCAGGTCAGAAGTGCAGCCGGACAATCATAAAACGGCATATCGACCTTACTGATAGAAATTCTATTTCCACCTGATAACGATGAAAAGTTGTATGATCCAGGGTAGAAAACAGCATTCAGAATGGTTTAAGTAACCAAACTATTTTAGATAATTAAATACAAAGCGACACTCCTCAGCTGGAAAATCGTATCGAAAGCAGCTTCACGTATAGGAAAAAACTCCGGTTGTGCCATTTTCTTCACGTTTGCTGCACATAAGCAAAGGTGTCTGCCAGCTAACATCACAAAAGCACTGAGGAAGGAAAACTGAGTTGATGCCGTTGTATTCCTATAGCGGTGCCTTGCGGAGCCTGTGGCGATAAGCAAGGCTAAGTCTAGGTAAGTATGGCCATGGATAACTGACTCGTTAATAATGGCCATCTGCGTCACGAAACCTAAAAAAGACTCTTAGCATTCTCCTTCGATTTGTCTCGGCGAGCCATAAAATAGTATTTGGTAACTATTAACCCACTGAATAAGCAAGACCTTGTTGCCAATTTGTCAAAATATACGTAGCTCGGGTGTTTACTGTTGTTTGGTCAGATGGTAGTTGACGTGTTCGCCAAGCTTGACAATTGGTTTGCAAAAGTTTCGTCCCCAGTCGAGGAGACATCGTCAGTGTGCAGTTGAGTGAGTGCGCTGACGATATCTCCTCGACTGGGGACGAAACGTTTGCAAACCAATTGCGAGCTTGGTGAGCAGATCAATTACCACTTGATCTACCAGCGGCATGACCTTGTTGATTAAGCCAGGTTTTCATAACATGCAGACAGCGACTGGAAACAGGAGTGCTGAACAGCCAACGAATCATTTTCCTTGAATGCATCACTGAAGCCTTTCGACATGTCTGCACAACACGGCAAACCGTGTGTTTCCATAAGCTGACGGACTAAGCTTAGAAAATCACACTATTCAGTTTTCCATGAAGTCTGATTTCCGTACAGCTGTCTTAATCGTCCGGATATTATCCCATTTCACCCCACCGTTTCTATCCATACCAAATATAACGCGAACCATTACACTAAGAGACCACTGAGCGCCACAGATCATAACAGAGATGAGTATTTATTCGTCTTCGATAACGACAGTGGTGGATTACATCCGAAAGCAAATGATTTGATACGAGCATCGATCTGCAACAAGTCCACTTCGGAAAAACGAGACCGGAGTACTTAATCGAACGGATACGACACATAACAGCCACTACCTTCGAAAATCTAACAGTGCTATTATATGACGGAAATATTTAGAAACATCACGCTCACCGTTAACCACCGTGGGTTCAGATGAGACGCCCACATGCTGCAAGTTAGCTTTCACAGAATTAAGCAATAATGGGGTCAAATCAATAGCAGTCCAAGCCAGTGGCATACGATATGGTCCCAGGCGTTTGCAGTTCCATTTGATTGATGTCTCAATACGGGTCTGAAAGTAAAAAGTGCGCCCCATGAAAAAAACGGGAAATCAAAATAACCTAAATGCAAAACAAGCACTTCGATGTAAGAATGACGTTGGAATGTTTTCACGCTATCAGAAAGTGACACCGCAAAAAAAAGGTGGACTCCATTGTCACAAAAGCCCCTGTAAAGATTGTAAACAGAAAAAAACTGTCACAAAATCAAAATGCGGATGCCAAACCTACATCATTGGTCCGCTCTATAAGTCAAGACATGTCCTACTAGGTGCTTGAAGTATGACAACCCGAAGGCTTGAAGTGGCGAGCCATACGAAACTGATGTACATTTGGAGATGAATTGGGATGAATTCCGGTATTCCTGTCTGCCGCAGAAGAGAACTTTCAAAGAGAGACCACTCTCTTGGGTATAAAAAACAGCGGCACTCGTCTACCATGATGCGCTGATTGACCCATTGATGAAGGGCCATTTTGCAAAGAAAAGGAAACTACCCCCTTCAATATAACTCATATAAGGTCGATGAAGACCCTGAGCAGTCCGACAAAGTTTCTGTCCTCCATATGGTTCATCAGGTGCGTCTAGTTCCAGAAACTCAAGTAAGCTTAGTTCCTCTTCAAACACCTATTTGCACGCATGCTACAGTAAACACTCGTTGACAAATTAAGTTGGCGCTGACAGGAGACGAAGATGAAACACCCAAATCTAAGGTCTACTAATTATTCTCTTGGTTGTCGGTCTCAGAAGGGATCCTGAGTAGTATTCCCCATGAGGATAAGGCGGGCGTTTTGACCGCCTTTGTGCAACTCCTCCGTGAGGGCACAGCAAGTTGTTCTGAATACAGGATAATGATAAGGACCCGTTAGATCGCACAAGAATTGATGAAAGACAGGGAGTGCCGTCTAAAGCGTTGTGACAGAGTTGCAAGGAAAAACTGAAAAATTCTTCCATTATCTAGTAGTCTGAGTTATGTAAGGCCATTGTTACTTCCAAAACACTTTCTAGCCTTCAACTGCTAATCGCGGAAACCATCTTAGCCCTAAAGCTGTTTAAAGAAGTTTCACAGATGAAGGTAACAGTTTTACGGAGGTTATAAAAGCTTAAGTTAGCCTAATCATAGCGTCATTGGGAACTCGCTGGAATCGAACGGCATAACTTAGCTTGAGGGGGGACTGTGAGGCTCTGTCTTAGAATTTACTCAACCGTTACTGAATGCTAAGATAAAGGTGAGGAATCAGATTTATAAATTATTATCAGCTGATTATAACTTGGCAGTTTTTTTAAAAAAACGGATAAATCAAGTGACGGTAAAATGCACAAAGAGACAGATGGAAACTAACAGATGAGCAATAAATGGCCGTATCTTGCTGAGGCTTTGAAAGACGATCTTTATAAGTTGAAGCCAAAATTGGCGAGTAATTGCCATAACCGAAGTATTCCATGACCTTACAATGAGGCGTCCACACCCGTGTGTACCTTAGTAGGCTACGAACCTTCAGTGTTCTTTAAGGTAAATAGGGCTTGCAAGGAGACGTAGGCGCCCTTAAGTAATTCTTTTTTTTCGAGAAATACTGGCAGTTAGTTTCTTCAGTGACAATAGCTTCTAAATTTCATCAATCTCCTAATGGGTGACATACGGAAGTGTTCGACCTTAACCTTGCATTGTGAAGAACCTTACCTCGATATATAAAACAGATTGAATCCACCTAGAAAAATATTTGTCATGATGCGAAATCACCAACGGGGAATCCAAATATGACTCAGTAACTATGCTTTTGTTGTTTCTCGGGACTTCCTCAACGCAATCTAAGTTCGAGTTTAGGGAGTGATACGTTGTTTTCATACATACGCGGTATTGCATTGATATATATATATATATAAGAAGTTTCCTACCTTGTCATCTTTGTTGTATAATTCCTCAACGTCACCTGCATCCCCTTGCTGCAACACTTTTTCCACCTGATTAAAACAGATGGGACAACAGAGCCATAAGACTGTTACGAAAGCAAATCCAATAGTAAATACATCAACGGGGCTGATGAACTATGAGCAAGAATTTGTCGCTAAGAAAGTCACACAAGTCACACGGTTCCATAATCAGAATTAACTTCAAAGAAGTCCAAATGATATGAAACATGGCTGACTGGATGCATAGCTACCATCAACATCATTATCATCGCCGACGGCACGAAATCAGAGTGAACACCGATACATCACCGCTGTACAACCATGACTGTGTTGAAAATCTTGTTGTGAAACAAAACGTCTAGTGAGGGTTATAGAGAACAAACCTTAGAAGGTGGGTCACACCGACGGTACCCAGAATTTTCGCGATTCGCCTGGTCAAAGATTGACCAACTCTGTGACCGACTACGAGTTAGACAAGTGAAACAGCGTTCCGTTTGACAGACAACTATTCGGCATACATTGAACGACCAATCAACCATAGCTTCAGTTACTGGGTGAATTCTTCGGCTGGACTCCAAGCTACACGGTTGAAGACTCATTTTCTAATTGCTCCACCGGCAATTGACACCAGCATATGCAAGCCATACTTTTAAGACAACAGTTATCAAAGATACCCTGAAGTTACACTTCACAGCAGTAGAGTAAAACAACCGATGCTGCAGCCTAATACACACGTTGGTTATGGTTCAGAGATTATGCCTCTTTGTCACCAAATTGGCGGCGCGATCCCAGTCCTGAAGATTCGTGCATTGACCTAGTCTGTAACACTACAATCGGAGCTGATTCGCCTTTCAAAACGATAAACGTTACTCCATCTCAGGCTCCCGTTCTTGGATCACAAGTGAATTGTTCGACAACCGCGGGTCCAAAATCAAGACCGTGAGCTTTGTGGACAGTAAAGACGGGATTGCTTTCGTAGTTTCGTTAAAAAAAGTCTCTACTTTCTTTTATCGAAGACGGGGATGATTTAGCCCGTATATTCCAGGCCGACGATATTCTTGTCAGCATCTATTCGGGCGATAAGACTGTGATTAGAGCGCGTATTTACTGGCCGAAAGGTCCGTGGTTCGAAACCAGCCTCTGCCTCTCGACTTCTCCTGTCTAAACTTGAGCAAGTTGACAGTAATCCAGCCCTATGTTTCCTTCGGGTGCCATGGAAGCTAGACACCAAAAAGAAGTTACAGTTTAACTATCTGAATACGAAAATTTGAAGACCAGCGTTCATCTAATTATCCAGTCGACCACAAAACTGAACTGAAACGTAGAGAGATTTAGCGGCCTTGTCGGGCGTCACTTCTTGGGGGAAGGTGTGTGGAGAGCTCTCTGTATAATTTCACGCTTCACAGATCTGAAAGTACATTGGACCTATAAAATCCGCAAAATTCAGAAACACTCCGTGCTAACCAAGCGTGTGAAGGAGAACAGACCAGGAAAGTGAGTCAGATGAACCCAGAAAATCCGGAAATACCATTAATATGGACCATTTATACACACTGCATTGTTCTGGTACCTACAATAGTGTGAAAATGTCGTCAAAGCGAAATTTACCAAAGTTCTAATTTACTTGATGCTCTCCAGCCAGTGCTTTACGGGCTGAAATAAGGCTAAGAAATACGAGTGACTTCAAAAGTTGTGTTGTAAGAGGAAACAAGCTAATCCAACTATCATTGCCAGACTCGATAGAGGCCCCTTCTAGATGGCACTATCTCACTTGTGTAAAGCTGTCCATTGTGCACGAGAGAGTAAACTGAAGTGCTGATAGTGAACCACGTGAACAATGGCTTCTCACTATCAACGCAGGCGACGCTATGAAGATGACGATGTGAATTGATTATTATTATTTTATTATTATTATTATTACTATCCGCAACTGACAATAAGCAAACAAAGCACGGTGGGAAAGGTTATACCCTCACCCTCACTACGAGGAAAATCCCACCAGAACAACAAGATTCACGGGACGATGCAGCGTGTGGCTTGTTGCTCCCATCAGCAAATCCTTCAAAGATGTCCGATGAGTCAAAGTAATTTGCGTCGGTTGAAGCACTTCCGTTTGTATCTGTAATGGCCACATTGGGGTAATGCGATAGTCTGGGTTCTTGTGCTTCCGAACTTGTTGCTGATGAGGCAACAACCGATCGCTGTTGCGTTATTCTGAACAAGCAGTTCCTCGCCAGTGTCGGCCAGTCACGGAGACTCAGCTGTTGTGTACTTCGGCTGCCAGAAAACAGGTGCAACAGTCTGTCAGAATTTGTATCAAAGTGGAAAACTTCGGATATCCGACGGCGAAGATGTACATCGTACAGAAAGGCGAGACCGAAGACCGGCTCTGATGTCCCATCCTCAATTTGCAGGCTGGAAAACTCTGCCTCAAGGAACAGGGTGGGTTCACCTAGGCTCACTGGCAGGTCGGAATAATCTGCAGGTCTGGATTTCCCCGGAGCAAGAAGACGACGATCTGGTATGACGCTCTACAAGATAGAAGACAAGATTATGACACCACCAGACCTATCCCGAACAGAAAACAATACTTTACTCAAATGTACTCTATCAGGTGCCAGAAAGTTCAGAAAGGATGCTTAAGCTGGTGACGGTCTGATGGGCTAAACGTTTGGAAAAACTGCACGGTCTACAGTCACCTATATCAAAACAAGACCCACATACTCCTGAACTTTGTCTAATACCCGAACGTGCGCTACCAATACGCCATGGCGTAGTCGGCTTTATCGACGATATGTCACATTCCGAAACATATTCCGTTGATATTCAGTCTCTCCATCAAGCGTTTTCAAGTGAAGAACAATAGACGTTCAAGAAACGCAACATTCCTAGTCTTGACACAATATCCACCGGCTCTCCGTGACTAAGGTCCATATCCTGTCCTGTAGCAAACATTAAAAATTTTATTCCAAAACAACGAGGTGTCAGAAGCTTCAATGTGTGAAACCGAACAGTCACATAGGCTAAATTATAGTGTAAGATGAAAACGGAAACAGTGTAGCATACAAACCAGTGCCCGTTATGCAGGTGCGACTCATCAGTGTTAAAAAAAGAAATATTTTGAGTCATTGCAATCGCACGTTTTACTGTTCTGACAGAGACGACGATAACGATCATTTTGTCCATGTTAACATGTTGGTGCCCAGTTGATCGGATCATTCGAAGAATGGTTCGGCTCAACCTTCATGGGTGAGACAACATTCAACCTCCCATAGTTTGTGCTATATGCAATGCAAGTGCTCGTCGGTCCGTACTTTGCTTGGAAGATTCAAGAAGATCTTAGGAATGTGATCCAGGTGGAAAACAATCCAAAGTGTCCCAGATACCTGTCCAGTATCCCAAGTAAAATGAACGGTATATTTGTTGGTTTCTAATGCAGTTACGTATTAACATCAAAACATGAACCTACGGGTGATGACAGTCATTTCGCCAGATTTATTTTGATTTCAGATCTGCCAGCTCTGGTTGCCAAATGTGATATTTGCCCTTTGTACATCCGTGAAAAAGTCCAAATGTAGCCTTAAATAAGTTCTTTGTCGTTAGCCGAATTACCTTTCTAGGAGTGACATTCAGTGTGTGAACCATGATGCCGGTGCCACGACGATGATGTGGACTGATCTCATTGATGGGTGAGTGTAGAATGCTTCGAAAAGCCATACGTGAACAAAAATGTCTGTCGCCGTTAAGTCAGTGTAGAAGAAGTACATCGTTAGCCATCTGCGCTAAATCCACTGTGCGCACTGGTACACCTACAAATATACGTTACGGAATTAAGGAAGAATGAAGTTGACATTTTTGTCGGAAACTGTCGCTTATTGGAAAACCTATGGGGAGCTCCACAGTCGCTCAAGCACAAAAGGTGAAAGGGCTTCTGGGATATACGGTTATAAGTAAGCATACGAGATAATCATGCTAATCTTTCAGCAATTACCGTCGAGTGGTTGGCGTTGGATTTGAACCACAGAGTTTCCGGTATATATATTTTAGCACGCCACCGATTTTACACCAGGAGGATCATGCATTTTCGTGCTGTCGTAGCGAACCAGTTGATCGGATCATTCGAAGAATGGTTCGGCTCAACCTTCATGGGTGAGACAACATTCAACCTCCCATAGTTTGTGCTATATGCAATGCAAGTGCTCGTCGGTCCGTACTTTGCTTGGAAGATTCAAGAAGATCTTAGGAATGTGATCCAGGTGGAAAACAATCCAAAGTGTCCCAGATACCTGTCCAGTATCCCAAGTAAAATGAACGGTATATTTGTTGGTTTCTAATGCAGTTACGTATTAACATCAAAACATGAACCTACGGGTGATGACAGTCATTTCGCCAGATTTATTTTGATTTCAGATCTGCCAGCTCTGGTTGCCAAATGTGATATTTGCCCTTTGTACATCCGTGAAAAAGTCCAAATGTAGCCTTAAATAAGTTCTTTGTCGTTAGCCGAATTACCTTTCTAGGAGTGACATTCAGTGTGTGAACCATGATGCCGGTGCCACGACGATGATGTGGACTGATCTCATTGATGGGGTGAGTGTAGAATGCTTCGAAAAGCCATACGTGAACAAAAATGTCTGTCGCCGTTAAGTCAGTGTAGAAGAAGTACATCGTTAGCCATCTGCGCTAAATCCACTGTGCGCACTGGTACACCTACAAATATACGTTACGGAATTAAGGAAGAATGAAGTTGACATTTTTGTCGGAAACTGTCGCTTATTGGAAAACCAATGGGGAGCTCCACAGTCGCTCAAGCACAAAAGGTGAAAGGGCTTCTGGGATATACGGTTATAAGTAAGCATACGAGATAATCATGCTAATCTTTCAGCAATTACCGTCGAGTGGTTGGCGTTGGATTTGAACCACAGAGTTTCCGGTCTATATATTTTAGCACGCCACCGATTTTACACCAGGAGGAAGGTCCAGTCTCTTCGTGACGGAGCGAAGCGCACTAAAGCCACACAAATAGTCGTCACACAATAAACACCAGGCTACTCCTTGTGTACTCGTCACGCTCAATATTAACACTGAAAACGAGCACCCTTATCGTAAACTTCCCCGAGGATCTGACAGGACTCCCTTCATCCTTCCACATTTCTACCAAATTACTTTGAGATACGTGCGGTATACCTCTTCTAACCGAAAGCCCTGAATTTTTGACACGTATACGAGGCGGTGCGATAGCATGGCCATTGGTTCTGATTTCTGAATTCAACACAATAATTAAGTCGAATTGGCAGGCATATAACATTTGACAAAGTACCTTACTGGATAAAAACTAATATGATATTATGTCAGATAACAAAACCCAAGTGAGAACCCCGCCTAAAACACATGTGTAGGTTAGCCCATGTGAAGACAATCAAGTCACAAATTGTGAAACACGTGAGGTCTATGAAATAACGGTAGACTGGTATTACCAAGAGAGGAGTTTCATATTGACACGTCACGCTGCAGTGTGGTTCCCGTGAGACTGGCTGAGTGGTTATAGTGCGTAACAATTGTTATGTTCCGGTGAAATTTGTATTCTTCTTCATAAACGTGGAGGATAAAATACTTGGTCCGACTAGCTTTTCGAGTAAAAATGCGCATTCATCACAGTGGTGAAGTAAATTTGCATCTGCAATTTTTTTGTGTTGTGCTACATAATGGCTTTTAGATAAAACATTATTTTCCGCCTTCCGATTCACCTAGCTAGCAATGTTTCGTAACGCGGTCCTACACTACGATTTTCATTTTCACCAGTGATATGAATGGTATATCCTTCGCGGTGAGTTACTATCGTTTGGCAGGTTATGGTCCTAAACCTTGAAGTGCTTAGGCCCATGTTTATTACATGTTCCTGTCCAAAATTTTCTCTTGCAAAACATTTTGCAGCAATATTCCGACAACCCATAACCGAAACATTGGGCTCCACAGAGTTTGCTGTAAAAATCCTTCGACTGACCCCAGTACCATTTCGGGACTATGGAAAATTCCAGAATTGATGCTGAAAAACATAATGCTATTTCGACAACTAGAGTCCCGATGCATTACAACCAATATGTGGACAAACCTAGCGGGATGTCCTTCCCACCAGCAGCACTTTGGAGGTCCACACTACCAAAATCCATGGTGTGGTTACACATCTTCCTGTCGATAGTTCTTGAAAGTCCTGCGAGACATGGGTTTTGGCGCACCTTCCCTCTTTGAAGAGGTGGCTCAAAGGATCACCCGGAACTCAACAGTCAAACTTTTGCGCAATACGCGACAATTATCCGTATACTATCACATTTAGGAGCATGTCCTTTGACAAGCTTGAGACAAGTAATTGCCTGAAAGGACGTAGAGCTGATTGGATAAGCAGATTGAAGATACAAGTTCAAAAACACAGAGTTCGGGAGATAAACTGCTCCACACACAACACATTCTCTAGTTCATATTAAAGCTGAGGGAGCTCAGGTCAACTTTCGGGCTAAGAGCTTTCTTGGTCTCACCAAAGACGACCCTAGTAACGATCTCTTTCGTTATCAAGGGACATATACTGCAAGAAAGAGACGTTCAAATACCATGCATGAGTAGTCAGCTCAGCGATACAGGAATGCTAAGGTCTGTTCGATTACAGGCATAAATTGAACATAACTCCATTTATTTAGCACACACTTTGGAAATTTGCCCCACCAACGACCAAAAAACGTTACTGCGTTCAACCGCTATCTTACATTGCACACTTATGTTCATACGATCACTTGAACCGGTTATAACTTATTTGGTAGGACGGATCTTGTGCGTCCACATCAACAAAACCGGGTTTATGAACAGAATTTCATCGAATTGCGATCTCTGTCTCACTTGGCTGATTCCGTCCTCGTTTTATACCCTTTAGATTGTGGAATGGTTCAAAAACTATCTACTGTCACACTGGGGACGTCAGGCTTGAATCATGTCCACCCGTAATCTAGCAACCCTCAATGTTAAAAGGCAGTCAGAATATCTGCGTCCATGCTACCAAAAACGTGGCCTCGTTGTAGATAGCGCTAAGTTCAAACTTAGCATATTCTCGGCTTGCAAAACTGAAATTCGCGCAATTCGCCCACTCAACTCAAAGAACAAGGATATCAAAGCCAATTCGCATGATTTTAGCTGTTCTATAACGTTGCAAAGAACTGCTTAACCGCCATTCATGTTTGCCTTCTAGATGCGTTAGACTCATTTGATCACTGACCGACCACTAGAAGAGAATCAAAATGGTATCAACACACAAGTTCTCCGCGCGACTTGCTGACTTGTTGCTGAATCAGTAGATTTATGCTCCGTTGAGCTGTTTGCTGAGTGATGAACCAGTGGGACTAGGTCGCTTTGTTTGTGTGAACTGTTGAACGTCACATTAACTCCCCGTGACATTTTTAGCCGCAAATAACTTTCCTATCGTGGAATATAACACTCACATGTGAATCACCAGTGGAAAATTTATACAAGTGAATAGTTCCTTCAC